ATCTTCTCTCCATGAAACCACTGCGGAAGACAAGGAGCAGGAGGGAGAGGGGGGGAGAAGGAGCGACATACCTAATGCGGCCGAACGGCGGCTGGCAGTAGACACGAGCTGTACAAGCACAGCTGGACACACATAATGATAGAAGCAACAAAAGCTCCATAAGCTGCTCTGGCAAGGCTTGCTCAATCCCGCCGTTTTTCCTCGACTTCGGCATATGGGGCCTGTTGTCGAGCCCTGGGGCAATTCAAAATGGATCCGGGATGAAAAAGTACCCCAGAAAAGCACCCGAACAGAGAGGCCTCAGACCCGCCAAGGCGGCTCCAAGTGACCATGGAGCTTCCCAAGAAGATACCCAAACGGCACCCAAACATGGCCCAAGAGGCTCCCAAGAGGGCCCCACGAATGGCTCCAGACCGTCAGCGTCGTCGGCGACGTCGCCGTCGCCGTCATCGTCGTCGTCGTCGTCTCCCTTCCGGGTCGGCGGCGATGGCCGTAAGGCCTTCGCGATACCACAACAAAGCACCCTAAGAGCAGCCAGAAAAATGCTCGGACGTGGGTACCTTGGAACATTTTATTTTTTTGCCAGGGATCGTGAACATCCAGACCGAACATGTAGCCAGCGTTAAGGCGACAGCACGATTCCTACATTGCTCACTGCGTAGAGATCCCCATAGGTGCATCCTTTTTAAACGTAATGTTGTATTTGGGATATTTAAATGAGCGTCTAGCCATATGAGCCATATGTGCATCTCACATTTGAGGGTAGTGCTATGGTGAACAGTTGCCTGTCCCTGCCTGGAGAGTGAACCTTTTCAAGCTCCCTCTCCAGTCCGCCCACAAGCGCGAAAGTGAACCTTTTCAAGTTCCCTCTCCCGCAGCTAGAGAGTGAACCTTTTCAAGTTCCCTCCCCAACCCAAAACGCACGGGGGGGAATGAACCTTCTCAAGTTCCCTCTCCCGCTGACGACGACAAGATTGGAAAGCACCACGGAGGGAGAAAGCAACATCCCACGGTGACACAAGCTCTGCGCCAACAACATCTGGTCACTCCTCCTTGACCGCCGTACGCAACGGGGAGAGCCACTCGGGACAGAACGCAAAAACAGAAAACAAGCAAACCGCTAGAGACATCCCCACAGAGCGGCGATGAACGGAGCCGTGACGTACCCCTTGGCGGCTCCCCTTAGGTAGCTGAAACCAGCGCCCCGCCTGAGACATCCTCACAGTCTGCTCTCCAAACGAAGGATGTCGAGACAGGAAACAGGCAAACCGCTTGAGACATCCCCACACAACGGCCGCGAACGGGACCGTGTCATACCCCTCGGCGGCTCCCCTTAGGGGTGCTGAAACCAGCACCCCGCCTGAGACATCCTCACAATCTGCTCTCCAAACGAAGGATGTCGAGACAGAAAACAGGCCAACTGCTTGAGACATCCCCACACAACAGCCGCGAACGGGACCGTGTCATACCCCTCGGCGGCTCCCCTTAGGGGTGCTGAAACCAGCACCCCGCCTGAGACATCCTCACAATCTGCTCTCCAAGCGAAGGATGTTGGGACAGAAAACACGCAAACCGCTAAGACGTCCCCACACAACGGCCGCGAACGGGACCGTGTCATACCCCTTGGCGCCCCCCTTAGGGGTGCTGAAACCAGCGCCCTGCCTGAGACATCCTCACAATCTGGTGTGTGTGTGTGTGTGTGTGTTGAGTAAGTCAGACAATGAGAAGGTCTGAGTATCAGTAGGTCTGGGTATGAGTGAGTATCAGCATGAGTAAGTCTGAGTATGAATAGGTCTGAGTACGAGCAGGTCTGAGTAGGAGTAAATTAATATGACCAAGTCTGAGTATGAGTAAGTCTGTGTATGAGTAAGTCTAGGTATGCGGAGGAGGAGGAGGAGGAGGAGAAGAAAAGGAAGGAGGAGTAGGAGGCGTCCAAGTAATAGCAATAATCCCATCTTAAGATATGGGAAATAATCAGCTACACGTCAGAGTGACCCTAAGCAAAAAGAACGTTTGGTGTGCGACTTGAAGGGGGGCGCGGGGTGGCCAAATCCGGGCGCGCAAGCCGCTGCTAACCCCCTCGCGTTCAGCGATCGGGGGACCCCTCTGGGCCCGCACCAGAAGGTCACTCTGGCGAAAGGTCACTCTGACGTCTAGTCGACATAAACTGTGCGGAAGTCTCAAGCGCAATGGCTGCCAGACCGGGCGGTCTCGGAATCCCCGTCCCCACCGTGGATCTCTCTTAAACCCTTCCTACGAGCCCTCTGGCGAAACGAGAGCAAGGAAACGCCCCCATGGAAGGAGTCGGGAGCTCTGGGGTCGCGGACTGAGCAGGTAAGATCGGATGATGTCTGGGTCCACCCGCGCCCTCCTCTCCGCCGTGAAGCAAGCGGTCCCTGAGGGGAACGGATCCTCCTGACGGTTGTTCGTCGTTCTCGGGATCCGAAGGCCCTCCACGGGACGGGGGGGACGGTCAGGAAACGACTCCAGAGGAGAGGCCGGTTGGGGGGAAAGGCCGAGGGTTTCCAGGATGCGTTCGTTTCAATCAGGACTCGTTTCCCTCATGGCAATGTCTCCGCTGGGGGAGGTCGGCACCATCGAAAGAAGGACATGCAGCGAAGAGAGTCGCACGGCTGTTCGCGCACGTGTGCGCAGCTCCGTGGTGGTCAGACGGCGAAGTCCCACCGACGGAGCACTGGCGTCCACGATCAAGCTCCAATCGCTGGCCAAACGGGTCGAAACCGAGACCTGATCGAACCGAACCGAAGGTTCCAGGAACCCCAGCATGGTGGGGAGACGCGGAATGGGGCGCAATAGTCGGCCGAATCGACCCGATCGAAATCCGCCATCGCGCTTTGAAATGGTGAGCGTGATCCGTGCCCCCGCCACCATACACCGTCCGCCTTCCATACCCCACTCCCCTGCGCAAGTCCTCTCCTCCACGCCCTTCTCCCCTCTGCTCCCAGCCCTCCCCTCCTTTCTCCTCCCCCGCGTCCCTCCTCTTCCATGTGGGCGTTAGGATGGGCACGCTGCCCCCCCTGTTCCGATTCGCGGGGGTGTCTGGATGCCGTTGGGATGGGGCAGGAATGCAACCAAGACTATGACTCAATTACTCACTGCGTGGAGCTCCCCATCTGTGCATCTCATGTTTTATGTCATGCCATAGTGAGCGTCTGTTCATGAGCGCTTGACTATAATAGCGCGTCCACGTGGGCGACAGGGCCGACGAAGACGAGTGAATCCTAATGCGAGTGAGTGAGTATGAGTCAGAGTGGGCCTTGGGTATGATTGAATATGAGCCTCCCATTCATCCCCCCTCCTCAAACTGGCCGCGAACGGGCCCGTGAAAACACCCCTGGCGGCTCCCCTTCGGGGTGCTGAAACCAGCGCCCCGCCTGAGACATCCTCAACATCTGCTCTGAAGGCCAAGGATGTCGGGCATGAAAACGGGCAAACCGCCTGAAACATCCCCACAAACTGGCCGCGAACGGGCCCGTGTCCTACCCCCTGGCGGCTCCGTTTAGGGGTGCTGAAACCAGCGCCCCGCCTGAGACATCCTCAAAACCTGCTCTGAAAGCAAAGGATGTTGGGCACGAAAACGGGCAAACCGCCTGAAGCATCCCCACAAACTGGCCGCGAACGGGCCGTGAAAACACTCCTGGCGGCTCCCCTGTGGGGTGCTGAAGCCAGCGCCCTGCCTGAGACATCCTCAACATCTGCTCTGAAAGCCAAGGATGTCGGGCATGAAAACAAACAAGCCGCCTGAGACATCCCCACAAACTCGCCGCGAACGGGCCCGTGTCCTACCCCCTGGCGGCTCCCCTTGGGGGTGCTGAAGCCAGCGCCCCGCCTGAGACATCCTCAACATCTGCTCTGAAGGCCAAGGATGTCGGGCATGAAAACGGGCAAACCGCCTGAAACATCCCCACAAACTGGCCGCGAACTGGCCCGTGAAAACACCCCTGGCGGCGCCCCTTAGGGGTGCCGGAACCAGCGCCCCGCCGGAGACATCCTCACATGCTGCTCTAAACGCAAACGAGTCTTCCCACCAAAACAGCCAAACCGCCTGAGATATCCCCACAAACTGGCCGCGAACGAGCTCGTGAAAACACGCTTGGCGGCCCCCCTTAGGGGTGCTGAAACCAGCGCCCCGCCTGAGACATCCTCACAAACTGCTCTAAACGCAAACGAGGTGCTGAAACCAGCGCCACGCCTGAGACATACTCCGAATCTGCTGTGTTTTGAATAAGTCTGCGTATGAGTACGTCTGACTATGAGAAGGTCTGAGTATGAGTAAATCTGTGTATGAGTAAGTCTGTGTATGAGTACGTCTGGGTATACGTACGTCTGGGTATGAGTAAGTCTGTGTATGAGTAAGTCTGTGTATGTGTACGTCTGGGTATGAGTAAGTCTGAATCTGAGTAGGTCTGAATATGAGTATATCTGAATATGAGTAAGTCTGTGTATGAGTAAGTCTGGGTATGAGTAAGTCTGAGTATGAGGAAGTCCGAGAGGAGGGGAGGAGAAGAAGAGGAAGTAGGAGGCGTCCAAGTAATAGCAATAACCCCATCCTAGGATATGGATTATTAAAACGGCAGAACCAATCCTGGGGCTGGAAGGCGAGGAGAACCTTCTCAGTGATCGACGGAACCACTCAACAGCAGTGGCCACCATGCATAGGGAAAGCCTGAAGGCGTCTCGCCCAAGAGCGGCGATCCTACGATCGGCCCGCTGACAAGTGCAAGGGGGCCCTGAGAATGTCCAGTGTCAGTGTCCAATGTTGGAGCGCACGGGGTTAGGAAAAATTGCCCTGTTTCAGTGGCAGCATTGGCTCCGAAGGACCCAAACATCAGATGCCATGCTTTTTCAATGCGGGTCCCCAGAAGTCCCGATCCTTTCCAAGAGGGCCAACTGTTTACCCAGAGTCGTTTTTGATGGTCTTGTGGCCTGGCAAAGGCTCCCCGAGGCAGGAACAAGCCTTCCGTCGGGATTTTTCGCAGCGAGAGGATGTCTGAGGAGACCAATTCTTTTTGTGATGCAGGCGCTGCCGCAATGCCACACATCGGAGGCTCCTCGACGCCGTCCTTGGCTTGTGCGAGTCCGGGCCTGGGGCGTGGCGCCGCGGCTGCCCAAATGCTTGCCGCTCTGCCGATCACACGCGGCAGGCAGGCAGATGGTGCAGGCGGGCAACGCTGAACCTACCTCGCCTCCCTTCCGACACTGGTCCCTAAGCCAAGCAGGAGCGGCCAGCATCGAATTGAGAAATAGGCGAGAACAAATCGGATCGACTGCGCCAGGATACACAGCAACGTCATGCGATCATCACCAGAACCGAGTCGGACGAGACCGGCCGAAGTCGAAATCGAATCGGATCGACCAGATCAAAGTGGACTCTGAAGGTCAGGCCAAGCTACACGGCCGATTCAACAGCGTGCTGGCGGACGATAGCCCCTGATTTTTTTCTTTGGATGTCCTAGTCTCTCCTACTGGTGGATTTTGGACGAATCATAGAAAACAAAACAAATAATCAAACATAGTCAGAAGAGTACGAAATGTCGTCACCATATCCTGAAGAGGGACATGCCCCACTCAATCCTAGCCTGGAGTCCTCCTGCCCCCGTCCGCAGGCCCGCTGACCCTGGGAAAGTGAGCCATCCCGCGATCGCCTTGTGCGCCCCGCGACGAAGCTCTGGCACAACACTTTCCACCACTGGCCGCTCTCCGCTGCTGTTGCAAAAGAAGATGAAACGGCATAGACCCAGTCTTTCGACGGTCCGCGCGGATGTCTTGCATCTGTGCAGACCGTTGAACATTTATGTTTATGCTGTTTTTTGTTCTTCGGCCGTTGTCGCTCGTGTCCTGACCTGCCAAGGTTCTGAACGCTCAAGCGGCAGATGATGGCAGTGCAATCCGTGGCTCCTTGGGGGCTGGCAGTGCTGGTCGAAGCGGGACGTTCTCAGCAGCTCGCACAGCTGTGCAAGAGTCTCTGCGTGGGATTCCGTGCTCTGTGGGGCCCCCTCCGAGCTTACGAGCACCCTGGAAAGCTGGAGTGGGATTCTGTGCTTCGTGGGGCCACCTCCAAGCTCGAGGGCACCCTGGGACGCTGGACATCCACTGAATCCTGCGTGAGAGCCACGCGGAGCCAATTCGGGGCCGACTTTGGGAAGAAGGCCCCCGTCCCCCTGGAATGCCGAATCCTTGAACAGTGCGGCTACCACTTCCTCCTGCACCTGGAGGGCCACCTGATGGTTTTGAGCTACGAGTTCAACTGTGTGCAGCGCGGGGGGCTGTGATCGCCCAGAGACCTGGAGAGCCCGACGAGCCACGTGTCCAAATATCGCCTCCACATGTCAAATTATGAACTCGACACCGTGCCTCTGTCACTCGGCGGGCGTGTTAGAACCTGGGCCGGCACGGGAACGGAAGGAGCGCTTGAGGAACTTGCCCGAGAAGGCTCATGGCACCATTCGCTCTTGGGAGCTTTGGCGTTACGAGCTTTTCCACGTCACCGTTCGCTCTTTGGAGCCTTGGCCTGAAGATTTTTTTCATGCCGTCGTTCGCTCTTGGGATTCTTGGCGCTAGAAGCTTGTAGCGTCACCGCTCGCTCGTGGGAGCCTGGAAGTTAAGAGCTGCTTGCGTAACCGTTCGCTCTTGGTAGCCTTGGAGTTCAATATTTTTTACGTCGCTGTTCGCTCACGGGAGGCCTCTTGAGAGGATGTTACATCGGCCCAATGGAATGTCTTTGAACTTTTATTACAAACGGCGCCCCTTCCGAACCCCCCATACCCCTGTAGAAACCTAGCAATGTAGTCTTCTTCCGTGGGCCGGGCGGGATCCCTCCTAGCTTGTTCCTTTTAGTGCTGTAGTTTTCATTCAAGAAAGTTGGAATACATATAATTTTACTTCAGGAAGGCCAACATCACACCCATTAAAAATAAGGTAACCCCAAATCCCAGGTCGTTAACGGATCCCGCCATGCTGGGAACGGCGCGAAATAGGATGGGGCTCAGAAATTGCAGCATTCCTGCCGTGATTGGGTCGTCTTGGCGTCATCTTGAGATCATGTCCCGATCATGTCTGGATCCCGCAGCCGTCACGTGGTCATTCTGAGGCCACCATGGGCGCTTGGATCCCTCTTGTTGCCATCGGGCCATCTCGGCGTCACTCCTTGCTCACGTGTTTGGTCATCTTCGAGTCGGCCTGGGACGGCCCGGAATCCATGGCAAGATCGTGTTGGGGTGGCATCATTCCAAGGTCGTCTGGACGTTACCGTCCGTGGCCTGAGGTCCTCCTGGATGCATTTTGTGGCCATGGGACGTCTTGGGATCGCGTGCGTGCGAGCGCTGAGCACGCGCGCGCGACATGTCATCTTGCCGATTGGCGTGCATACGCATACTTTCTCTTGCGAGTTTCCAAGGAAACTTTTGGAGTCAAGTAGAGGCAACTTGAAGGCCTCAAAAGGGCCTCTTGGGGGTTCCTTTGGGCCGTCCCGGGGTCCTCTTGGACCGTCTTGGGGGCTTCGGCGGGCTTGCGATGCTTTTTACGTCACTGTTCGCTCTTGGCGGCCTCTTGGGAGGCTCTTGGGGGCATCTTGAAGGCCTCTCGAGGGCATGGAATCTTTTTGGCCGTTTTGGGGCCCTGTTGGGCCGTCTCGGGGCTCTCTTGGACCGTCTTGGGGGGGCTTCGTCCGGCTTGGGGCGCTAATGGGGCCCTCTTGGAAGCCTCCTGTGGCCCCCTTGGGGCTCCCCCGGGAGCCTCTTAGGGCTCTGTGGGGGGCCGTCTGAAAGCCTCTTGGGACCTCTTAGGACGATCCCGAAGGTCCCCAAGGCCGCCTTTGGCCGTTCTTGGCCCGAAAAGGACCCCCCCCAAATCCTTCAATCACCTTAGGGCAACTTATATGTTTTTTGCCTCCTCTGGGCGCCTTGGGAGTCGTCTTGAAGCCCTCTTGGGGCGTCTTTCGGGACCTCTTGGGCCGGGATGAAGCCATCAGGAGCCCTCTGGGAGCGCTCTTGGACCGTCTTCGGGTCCTCTTTGGTCTCTCTGAGGCCGTCTTGGGAGCTTCTTTGACCGTCTTGGATGCCATTGAGGCCTCGAAGGCCGAAACAGCTGCCAAGATGACCCCTGGATGGCGTGCTTGAAATTTCGCTAGGCCACGCCCCCCCCCCCCCCCCCTCGGACCCCCTCCCCATCACTGGGGCTAAAGCCCTGTACTTGCAAACTTCTCTCGCTGGCGCTCTTTCTGTCGTACGTACCTGCTGGCTGTCTGATACATTTCTTTCGTCTTCAAGGGGCGCCCCCCTCGGGGCGGCCATGAATTGAAATTCGCCCCCTCCCCTGCGTGTTGCTCCCTGGTGCTCTCCCCGGCCCGGCTCAGGACCTGTCCAAGATGGCTGAAGACGCCCCACCGCTGGCCCAAGACGGCCCAGGGACCCGCCCTGGGCCTCTAAGTGCCCCAACCAACATCGATGAACCTGCTTGCATTTCCTCTGGGAAAGCTCCGGCCCCGCTGTCCGAACTGTCCCCCTTCGTGGGGGTAGGTGCCCTCTCCGTGGAGCTTCGCGGCATCCACCCCCACCTCGAGAGCGTAGGCTGGCGGCGCTAAGGGACACTGGCCCACTCGGGATTGGGATACAGTAAGTTCGTTGAATTAAAATCCAATTCGAGGACGGACCGAGCTCGGCGCCACCTTGCATTCCGTTGCCCTCTTGATCGAGAGCCCCTTCGGTGTTCCTTCGGATTGTCCGGAAGAGCCTTCGGGATGTCACGGCTCGACTTGGGGCATACGCGGGGCTTCGCTCCTCATCTGTGGCTTCCCGTGTCAGCGGCCCGGCTGTAGGTCCGATGGTGCTGAGGCAGGAGGCGCTCGGAGAGCCCCCAGGAGGCCGAGCGCGGCGAAAAACACGTGGGGTCCCCGGTCTCCCACAGGGGCGCCCCTCCAGGCGTGTGACGCCATGCCGTTTTCGCAACGTCGGCCCCTGGAGGTATGGACCCCTTCCCCGGGGCTGGCTCTGCATCCCCAGAGCTTTTTCGACTGTCTCAGGGCCCTAACACTGGCCTCCCCGAGCGTGAACATTGAACATCGTCAAAGCCTTCCTTCACTTTTTTCTCAGGCGCGAGGTGATCAAGGATTGCGGATCGAGGGGTCAAGTATCGCGTGCCGAAAATCTTTGAACCTATCATGGGATACTACAAGTCTCGTCGCAATCAGCGCGGCGCTAGTAGTAGTAGTAGTAGTAGTAGTAGTAGTAGTAGTAGTAGTAGTAGTAGTAGTAGTAGTAGTAGTAGTAGTAGTAGTAGTAGTAGTAGTATTAGTAGTATTAGTAGTATTAGTAATATTAGTAGTATTAGTAGTATTAGTATTAGCAGTAGTAGTAGTAGTAGTAGTAGTAGTAGTAGTAGTAGTAGTAGTAGTACTATACGTATTCGTGGTAGTAGTATTCGTAGTAGTAGTCGTAGCTTCCTGATCGTCCTGCTGCTTCCCAGCCTCCCCGTCGCGTCGTCCCTTTTCCATATGCCTGTGGACCACCATGAAGCGGACCCGTTCCTCCATTCTTTCTCCCTGTAGATACTTTCTCCCTGTCGCACCCCGAAGCCAGTTTTTAGAGCGGGCCGGGCGTTTCGCCTGAGAATTCCTCACCATTTATGACGATGATGCTTAAAACGTGACAATCATTTCGCAGATGGAAGGAGGGTCGTTTTCAAAATGTGGCTCTCGCCTTAGCGCCGCGCGCATTCGTTTTCAACGTTTGCAGGATTTCACGGATTGAAAGCGGATCGTTTTCAAAATGTGGCTCTCGCCTTCGCGCCCCGCACATTCTTTTTCAATAATTGCAGGGGTTTCGGGTTGATGGCGGTTCCTCTTCAAAATGTGGCTCTCGCCGTAGCACCGCGCATATTCGTTTTTAAAAGTTTGCAAGATTTCACAAGTCGAAGGCGGGTCGTTTTTAAAATGTGGCTCTCGCATTAGCGCCGCGCGCGTTCGTTTTCAAACTTTGCACGAGTTTCACGGGTCGAGGGCGGTTCCTCTTCAAAATGTGGCTCTCGCTTTAGCGCCGCGCACATTCGTTTCAACATTTGCAAGGGTTTCGCGGATTCCCATGATCAACGTACCAGAAATAGTGTTTTGGAAAGATTCAGGATTATGCGGGCGCAACAGTTTTGTTGATTCGCGGTGTTGAAATCCCAAAAATGACGTTCTGGCACGGTTCCAGATCGTCTAGACGCAGCACTCAGGTTGATACGTGGCGTTAAAATCCCAAGAACAATGTTCTGGCACGCTTAAACATCGTTGATGACTCTTGGGTTTGCACTGGTCCTCCTCCTCCTCCTCCTCCTCCTCCTCCTCCTCCTCCTCCCCTTTCCCCTGGGGAAGAGTTTTGGAAGGGAAAGGCAACGATGATGAGATTGCAGGAAGGACGCTATGGCCGCAGTTCTCGTCAGGCGAGGTGCGGGCATCCATCACCGATTGCGCACTGGGACGCACATGCATGGAGCGGGCTTGAGAGACCCGTGAGTAGTGAGTGAGTGAGACTGGGCCGCGGTCTCAGGTCTAGCTCTGCAACTGCTGGTGCAGCCTCCAGCCAACGAGCGCGCCGCTAACCTGCTGGCCAAGCTGTTCTTTCCAGGGGAAGACACCGGCTGCCCCTTTTTGGTTCATCCGCCTCTGCCCTGACGAGTTCGCCCTCAGTCCTCGCCTGGAACACTCTTTGCCATGACCTCGGCGCCCATGCATCGGCTCACCAATTTCCTGCTGGCCTTCAGCATGCAATCTGGCATTCCCACTTCTTATCATACTGGTCAGCAGAAATGCCAGCACACGAATGGGCCCTTCTGACAGGTGCCTGCTCCAAATCTGTTCTCATTGAGCCTTTACCTTGCAACATGTCGTGAGCCTGCTGACACAGACAATCTTGGTCCAAGCACCGCGCCTTGTCCCCAAGGGGCTCAGAATCACACGGCCCTCTGCCCAATTTTTCTCACCAGTGACGCCGCGCAGATCGCCGCGCACCTCCCTCCTCCTCCTCATCCTCCCTCCTCCTCCTCCATCATCCTCCTCGCTCGCTCGCTCGCTGGGGCTGAAAAGTTTGAGCCCGTACCAAGAGAAGGGGAACAGAGGTTGCGCAACGAATTCACGACTTGTAGAATCGTCTTGGCAAGGCCGCCACAAGTCCCCTCGAGCCCTTCGGGAAACCCCCGATCGCCTCGCCAAAGAAAGGCGGTCCTCGCGGCAGCGAGCTCTCGCCGGGAGCAGGCCCCGATGCCACAACCCAAAGAGCCGCCCCACCAAAGGCTTCCGCCAAAATCTTCCGTCCTTCCGTCATCCTTCTCCTCCTCCTCTCCCTGTGGACGTAACCATGGATCGACTAGTATCGTAGCTTCAGTATGGCAAACACAGCGTGATGGTGCGACGAAACCAACTTAGGCACAATGGCCAGACATTCGGCGGCGAACAAGTGCGGTAAGCAGCCGTGCCTGAATGGAGTGGTCGTATTCGAATGCGCTGTGTTATCCGGGAGGTTTTGTATGGTTTTTAAAGGGCCCCCCTCTCGCCGGTCGCACCCCTAAAACACCGCCCCTTCTGAAATTGCTTTCTGGCGGTCATTTCTGTCTCCAGACGGCCAAGATGGCCTTCAAGACGGCTTCCAAGACAACCACGAAGACAACACGACGGCCAAGAAGGCTTAGAGCAACTCGTTCGCCTCTCAAGACAGCCTCAAGACGGCCCACGAGGCGGACACACATCGGTACATCAAGTGGATGTTCATCTGTCTACCTCACTATCTGCCTATCTGTCAATCAATCGATCTAAATGTCCATTTCTCTCTCTCTCTCTCTCTCTTTACCTAACAGCGAAGACTGATAGGTTTCTCATGGGCTAAAAAGAGAGCAGCAGATGACTCCACAAGGGGGTCTGGGCAGCCGTTGGGGAGGTGTTGGGGTTTGCCGGCCGGGATCGTTTTTCGCATACAGTCACACACTTCGTGCTCTTCGACCTCCCAAAACTCCATTCCCGGGCCACATTCTGAATGCCCGGAGCCAACTGTAGGCCACTTCGTGCTCTTCGACTTCCCAGAACTCCATTCCCGGGCCACATTTTGGATGCCCGGAGCCAACTGTAGGCCACTTCGTGCTCTTCGAGTTCCCAGAACTCCATTCCCGGGCCACATTTTGAATGCCCGGAGCCAACTGTAGGCCACTTCGTGCTCTTCGATTCCCAGAACTCCATTCCCGGGATGCCCGGAGCCAACTGTAGGCCACTTCGTGTCTTCGAGTTCCCAGAACTCCATTCCCGGGCCAGATTTTGATGCCCGGAGCCAACTGTAGGCCACTTCGTGGTCTTCGAGTTCCCAGAACTCCATTCCTGGGCATGATTTTGAATGCCCGGAGCCAACTGTAGGCCACTTCGTGTTCTTCGAGTTCCCAGAACTCCATTCCCGGGCCACATTTTGAATGCTGAGGCAGGCTGAGGCTGAGGCTGAGGCAGGCTGATGCTGAGGCAGGCTGAGGCTGAGGCTGAGGCTGATGCAGGCTGAGGCTGAGGCAGCCTGAGGCTGAGCCGAGGCTGAAGGCAGACTGAGGCTGAGGCTGAAGCAGGCTGAGGCTGAGGCTGAGGCAGGCTGAGGCTGAGGCAGGCTGAGGCTGAGGCTGAGGCAGGCTGAGGCTGAGGCTGTGTCTGTGACTGCCGTTGCCACTGCGACTGTCATCGCGAATGCGACTACGACTGCGAGAACAGCACAATTCTACAACTGGATTCTCATCTGAATCTTAAGGGGAATGCTTCCAGATATGCTCCTACACATCGCTGTTAGGTTGCTTTGCCGGGATAATTTTAAATATGCATATGTGTGTGTGTGTCTACCTGTCTGTTTATCCATCCTCCCACATAGATCACAATCTCTGCATCTATTCCAATATATCTGTCTATATGTCCCAATCTCTATCTGTCTATTCACCACTCTTCTACCTGCTGGTGTCACTGTAGATCCATCGATCTAGCTATCAATCTATACATCGATGTAAATACCGATCCTTCGGACAACGGTCAAAGCAACCATCTGGACAACTGGCTTACCAGTACGTTTATCTACCTGTCTGTCTATCAATCTTTGTGTATATATATATATATATATATATAGCACCCCGCAATTGCGGATATGAGTGAGGGGGCGGGCGCGGGCGACGCGGGCGTCGAGCTGGCGGACCTCGTGGCCCTCACGAATGCAAAAGAAACCTGGAACGACTGCAAAAGAAACCCGCCGCATGCGCCGAAAATTAGGGGGGGGTCGCGGGGTGGGTCGCGGGTGGGTCGCGGGTGGGTCGCGGTGGGTCGCGGGTGGGTCGCGGGTGGGTCGCGGGTGGGTCGCGGGGTCGGTCGCGGGTGGGTCTCGGAGTGGGTCGCGGGTGGGTCGCCGATGCAAAAGAAACCCGCCGCAGGCGCCGAAGTTTTGGCTTCTTCAGTGAACGTAGTTTGGGTCGCGGGCTCTCCACCTCCACCTGGAAAGCATTCAAAAACAGCCCGCCGCAGGCGCCGAAACATTGAATTTGTACATTGAACGCGGTTTGGGTCGCGGGTGGGTCGCAGGTTCTCCACCTGGAACGACCTGGAACGAATGCAAAAGAAACTCGCCGCAGGCGCCGAAAATTTTGGGTGGGTCGCGGGGTGGGTCGCGGGTGGGTCGCGGGTGGGTCGTGGGTCGCGGGTGGGTCGCGGGTCGCGGGGGTCGCGGGTGGGTCGCGGGTGGGTCGCGGGTGGGTCGCGGGGTGGGTCGGTGGGTCGCGGGTGGGTCGGGTGGGTCGCGGGTCGCGGCGCGGGTGGTCGCGGGTGGGCGGTGGGTCGCGGGCGGGGTCGCGGGGGGTCGCGGACGACGACAACAACAAACAACAAACAACCAACAAACAACAACAACAAGAATCCGCATCGTGGATTTCCACTGCAACCGCGCACCCAGGGACAGTGACTGACCGTTCGGTTCAGCCCCCTCACTCTGATATATATATATATATATATATATATTAAATGTATGTCTCTCTCTCTATATATATGTGTATCCATATGTGTGTCTATATATGTCACTGTTGCTCCACCGATTTTCATTTGCAAACAGATCTATCAATATAACTTTGTGCATGCTTTGCATGTTTTGCATGTATTTTGCATGTTTTGCCCCGCAAGGCGCATGCATTAATCATGTTTGCCTCGCAGGGCGCATGAGACATCTATATGTATTTATGTATGTATGTATGTATGTATGTCTGTATGTATGTATGTATGTATGTACGTATGCATGTATGCATGTATGCATGCATGGATGTATGTATGTATGTATGTATGCATATATGTGCATATCTATGCATATGAATTTGTGGATACGTATGCACGCATCTATGTATGCACACACATATATCCACAGGTGTATGCATCAGCCTACAGGCTATAAACATATATTTTCCGAACAGGGCGTGTCCATGAGTTTTAGGGCCTCGCAGAACGTATTTTCTGGTATCATGGTCTCGCAGAGTTGATGATCTGGATTTCCTGATTTCTCAGAACCACCAGGACAACCATCAGGACATCCAGCGGGACAACAGTCAGAACAACACTCGGGACAACCATCGGGACAACCGTCGGGACACAACCATCGGGACACAACCATCGGGACCATCGGGACAACCCGCTACGTACCTGCAGGGCCAGGCGAAGGCGACTCTTTTGGCCTGACTTGGCTTCTGTTGTTCGAGAGCAGGAGCTCGCGCAACTTCGCCTCGCCTCGCCCGCACGTCACGCACGACACGGACCGAACCCGAAATCGATTCCCCGGTTTGGCAACTCCATTTCACTTCGATGTCACCCCCCGACATCCGATTCTCACAACAGTCCGCAACACTGAAACTGCCCCACTTATGCGCATGCTGGATCGCGAAGAATATAGCACTGCTGCCACTCCCAGGCATGAACCCACGATATCGCGGCCACCACGCAGACAACCTGAGACGCCATCTTTTTCGGAGCGGCGATCTGCAAACTGTTACCCCTACTCCTGAAAACGGAAACCAAACAAGATGGACAATCGATGCGTTCGTTTCCTCCATCTGGAACTGGCTGACCCATGTTTGCACCACAAATCCGGTTCTGCTTCTTCAGGCTTTTCCTTGGCTCACCGTGCATCCCACCGACCAATCGCATCCGTTGTGCCCTGCCGCGGCCAGACATCCGTCCATGATTATGATCTGGATGGGCTTGTGCCCTGGAGCGCGCCCAGTCGCATCACTGGCACGTGGGCTCGTCAGACAGAAGGCACGAGCACGACGTTCGATGGACAGGGAGAGTATCACGAAACAAAAATGAAGTCAAGCTCAAACCAACACCGAAGAGAACGGCAATCATGCACTCGAATTGCCGCCTCCCGCCTCAACGATGCTACACAAAACGGCACACCTTCAGGGTAGCATCGTCTGCGTGAAGTGGGCACAACTTGTACAATATGGATCCGCCATCTCCTCCTGCAGTGACATCGCAGAGCAAAGGATGAGCAGTTCCAGCAGCAAGATATCGATAATATAGCAAGCGGTAGGGCCGGAGATCGCGACACTGTGGTGTGCCGTAAGGTGTGGCAAGTTGCCCAGCTGCTTCTAAAGTCGTGTCCACGGCCGCGCCAAACGTTTTGCATTGCCGATCTGTGTCTGGTGCGGTACACGCCAAATCATAGGCGGTCTCAGACAAGCCCAGGACGGCCCCCAGAGGGCCACGGCCACCAAAGGGCCCAAGACAGCTCCAAAAGGGGCCCGATAGCCAGCCTCAAAAGATGACTCGGAACCGCTGCAAGACGGCCCACGAGAGCCCACGAGAGCCGAGGAGGCTCCAATAAGCGTCAAGTGAAAAGCCTGGACACCCAAAGAAGGCACCAAAAAGGCCCGTCCCCCCCAAATCCACCGAAGATAGCTTCGAAACGCGATCCGGCTTACTGTGCTGAGCTGTCCCGTCGTGCTGACGCCAAACTATGTGTATAATGACCTGCGGCGGGCCTCTGCGTCTGCCGCCTTCGGCATGAATCCTGCCACAACCCTTTGCTTGCTGCGAGCATCTACGGTATGGAACTTTTGCATAGCGTGTCGCGGCGGCGGCCCCGGCGACACGCAATGCCCTGCGAGCGAATAGCGTGTCGCTCCGCTCCGCGGGGCGGGGGGCTCGGAACAGCTCTGGACGTTGACGCTGGAAGGCCCGGAAGTGGATAGCCTGTCGCGCCGAAGCGTGGTGGGCCAGAACCGGCGGAACGACACGCTATACAAAAGTTCCTGACCGTATGTCTGGCCTCGGGGGCGGGGTGGGAGACAATGGTGCCCGCAGAGAGCCTCTGTCTTCGCTTCGGGTTCAAGATGAAGGGCGTTTGCGTTTTGTGTCACAGTTCGGTTCAATATCTGTTAGCCAGCGTGGAGCCCCACCAGCATGTTTCTAGCACTATAGGCAGTGCAGTATCTTGGTTTTTGACCTGTGTTGTGCAACCTTTGTTGTGCATTCTAGATTGTGCAGTCTATGTTGTGCAATCAGAATGAAGCAATTTATATGGTGCACAAAATGTGGATCAGCACATGTGGAGCAATACCCATGGGGCCATCCATGTAGTGCGGTCGATGTTCGGTAATATATGATGTGCAATCAAGGTCGTGCAACCTCTGTGGTGCAATACATGCAATCTGTGTGGTGCACCGTACTTTTTGCCGTCAGCATGGAACAATCTATGTGCTGCAACCTGCTCAGGTTGTGCAATATATGTTGTGTAATCTATGTTGTGCAGTCCGTGTGATGCAATTCACCCTGCTGGACTTGAGATTGTCAGCTCCTATACTCGCGCAATCATCACACCAATCCACCCGCACTTCGGTTTGCAAAACTCATGCGGCGGCGATTGCGATGAGTGCTTGGCGTTGGCTGGTGCATCTCTGCGGCCGCGCTGGCCCTCGCATGCTCGCGCGCGAAGCGGCCAGCTAGTTTGGCGCGACCGACGCGGCCGCAGTGGCGCTGACCGCTGGGCACTTCCTACCGGGCACTTCAATGCGAGTCTTCGACTTGGGGTGCGCGGCACCATGGCAGCGTCGACAAAGGTAGACACGATGATGGTAGTTGTGATGCTGGTGACGACGATGACAACGACGACAGCAATAAAGCCAGTAACGGCGCCGATGCTGATCACGCCGGCGACGACGACGGCGTCCTCGCGTCGGTGATGAAGGTTTTGCTAGGAGTTCGACATGCTCGCGCGGCCGACGCGCGAGAGTGGCCTGCATGGTGCTATTTGACACGGATCGTGCCCCCACCCCCCCAGCAGGCGCGGTAGGGCGTTCGAATGATTTCGACATGCGGCGCGAGAGGCCCGTTTGGCAGAAATTAATGAAACATTTGAGAAGCCGATGGTCTTGTATTCTTCAGAAGTCGGAAACCCGAGAGCGCATTTTTTTGGGTTTTTGAAAACTGATGTTGAAACACCATGTGCTTTCATATGTTTTCGGGACGCTCGATTTTAAAACCTGTGCGAAACCTTTGTTTTTTGAAGGATGCCGGCATGCGCGCGACGACGTGCTCGTGTGCACTTCGTCCCTTGATCTGCAAAATATTCTTGCGACAGCACGCGCGCAAGGGCGTTCTTGCGATTCCGGCATGCGCGCGAGAGAGGCCCTCTTGGTAACATCTCATAAAAGAAGTATAATCTTAAGAATCCGCAAGAGCACGAGTGCAAGCTTTCTTTGAAAATCTTTGTCTGGAAACTATTTTACCTAACAGCGAAGACTGATAGGTTTCTAGTAGGCTCAAAAGAGAGCATCATGACGCCCCAAGGGGGTCTGGGCAGATGCTGGACGGGTGCCGGGGAGAATCCGCGGAAGTCGTTTTAAGCAAACAATTACACACTTCGTGGTCTTCGAGGTCCCAGAACTCCATTCCCGGGCCACATTCTGAATGCCCGGAGCCAACTGTAGGCCACTTCGTGCTCTTCGAGTTCCCAGAACTCCATTCCCGGGCCACATTTTGAATGCCCGGAGCCAACTGTAGGCCACTTCGTGGTCTTCGAGTTCCCAGAACTCCATTCCCGGGCCACATTTTGAATGCCCGGAGCCAACTGTAGGCCACTTCGTGTTCTTCGAGTTCCCAGAACTCCATTCCCGGGCCACATTTTGAATGCTGAGGCAGGCTGATGCTGAGGCTGAGGCAGGCTGAGGGTGAGGCAGGCTGAGGCTGAGGCCGAGGCTGAAGGCAGACTGCGGCTGAGGCTGAAGCAGGCTGAGGCTGAGGCTGAGGCAGGCTGAGGCTGAGGCTGAGGCAGGCTGAGGCTGAGGCAGGCTGAGGCTGAGGCTGAGGCTGATGCAGGCTGAGGCTGAGGCAGGCTGAGGCTGAGGCCGAGGCTGAAGGCAGACTGAGGCTGAGGCTGAAGCAGGCTGAGGCTGAGGCTGAGGCAGGCTGAGGCTGAGGCAGGCTGAGGCTGAGGCTGAGGCTGAGGCTGAGGCTGACTGCGACTGCCGTTGCCGCTGCGACTGTCATCGCGAATGCGACTACGACTGCGAGAACAGCAGAATTCTACAACTGGATTCTCATCTGAATCTTAAGGGGAATGCTTCCAGATATGCTCCTACACATCGCTGTTGGGTTGCTTTGCCGGGATACTTTCAATATGTTTTCGGGACGCTCGATTTTGAATTCCTTGCGAAACCAAGAGTTTTTGAAGGATTTCGGCATGCGCGCGTGACGACGCGCGCGTGCGCATTTCGTTTCATTTGTTGCAGGGAATCTTGAAAACGAATGTGCGCGCATAGTTTGTTCAGAGGATGCGGAGGAACGATGCCCGTTTATCTAGGATGATATGAATTCATATCTAGGATGGACGATGGGGCAGAATCGTAAGTGAATTGCGATACGAGAAGGGGCCCGTTCAGTCCGGGGGGGGATCCTATTACTCCCCCTAGAGCAGAGAATATACGTGGTGATATCCATGTCGTGCAATGTATGTTCCAGGCGGCGGGCGGCGACGAGGCGGGGACGGGGCGGCGACGGCGCCCACATAGCCGCCAGGCCGCCAGCCAAGTCCAGACGACGGGCGGCGACGGGACGGCGACGGCCACAACACAGCCGCCAGGCAGCCGCCCAGGCCCAGAAAACGGGCAGCGACGAGGCGGCGACGGCGACAATACAGCTGCCAGACCGCCCCCCGTGCCGAGAAGACGGGTGGCGACGAGGCGACGATGGGGCGGCGGCGGCGACAACCCAGCCGCCAGACCGCCAGCCAGGCCCGGCTCCTTAGAGCGGAAGTAAGAACCGCTGAATGCAAGCACTTTTGGGGGAATCTCTGTCTCTCTCTCTCTCTTTTTTCCTCTCTCTCACTCCCTCTCTTTTTCTCTCCCTCTCTCTGTGCCTCTCTCACTCTCACTCACTCTCTCTCTCTGTCTCTCTCTCCCCCCCTCCCACCCTCGTCGTCACGGCTGTCTTCATTCCGTTCGTCGCCTTCGTCCCTCTAATCCTTGATGTACCCACACTTCTTCACGCCTCGCGTATCCCCGGCAGCCGATCCAGAACCCCTGTCAATGAGAGTTGACGGGAGAAGGGACGAAGCGACACATGTGGTGAAACAAAGCGGCAACAAGAGTGAACAGAGAGACCTCTGGGAGCAAGGGGGTGGCTTTGGAGGGCCTTTTCGGGCCATCCCTTGGGCCCACGTGGGGGCGAGGGAAAGAGGAGGAGGAGGAAAACGACGACGACGAGGAAGAGGAGGACAAGTAAAAGGAAGACGATAGGGGGCAAGGACGAGGACGAGGAGAAGGAGGGCAACGACGGGACAGAGCCTTCGATGCCGCCTCTTGGAGCCCTCTTGGGACTCCTTCCGCGGATCGTGTGGTCCCTTTGGGGATCTTTTGGGTGGTCTTGGGGCCCTCTTGGAGCGCGACGACAGCAACACACAATTGCATTCTGCAGCGGGGTAGAGAGAGAGAGAGAGAGAGAGAGAAAGAGAGAGAGAGAGAAGTATATAGCACCCCGCAATTGCGGGTAAGAGTGAGGGGGCGGGCGCGGGCAACGCGGGCGTCGAGCTGGCGGACCTCGTGGCCCTCACGAATGCAAAAGGAGCCTGGAACGAATGCAAAAGAAGCCCGCCGCATGTGCCGAAAATTAAGGGTGGGTCGCGGGGTGGGTCGCGGGTTCTCCACCTGGAACGACCTGGAACGAATGCAACAGAAACCCGCCGCATGCGCCGAACATTTTGGGTGGGTCGCGGGTGGGTCGCGGGGTGGGTCGCGGGTGGGTCTCGGAGTGGGTCGCGGGTGGGTCGCCGATGCAAAAGAAACCCGCCGAAGGCGCCGAAGTTTTGGCTTGTTCAGTGAACGTACTTTGGGTCGCGGGCTCTCCACCTCCACCTGGAAGGAATTCAAAACAGCCCGCCGCAAGCGCCGAAAATTTTGATTTGTACACTGAACGCGGTTTGGGTCGCGGGTGGGTCGCAGGTTCTCCACCTGGAACGACCTGGAACGAATGCAAAAGAAACCCGCCGCAGGCGCCGAAAATTTTGGGTGGGTCGCGGGGTGGGTCGCGGATGGGTCGCGGGTGGGTCGTGGTGGGTCGCGGGTGGGTCGCGGGTGGGTCGGGGTGGGTCGCGGGGTGGGTCGCGGCTGGGTCGCGGGTGGGTCGCGGGTGGGTCGCGGGGGGGTCGCCGGGGGGGTCTCGGGGTGGGTCGCGGGCGGGTCGCGGAGTGGGTCGCGGTTGGGTCGCGGGTGGGTCGCGGGTGGCTCGCGGGGTGGGTCGCGGGTGGGTCGCGGGGTGGGTCGCTGGTGTGTCGCGGGTGGGTCGCGGGGTGGGTCGCGGGTGGGTCGCGGGGCGGGTCGCGAAACAACAAACAACAAACAACACACAACAAACAGCAAACAACAAACAGCAAACAGCAAACATCAAACAGTAAACAACAAACAACAAACAACAAGCAACAAGCAACAAGCAACACGCAACAATCAACAATAAACAAGCAACAAACAACAACAGCAACAGCAACAACAACAACAGCAACAGTAACAACAACAGCAACTACAACAACACCAACAACAACAATAACAACAACATAAACAACAACACCAATAATCCGCATCGCGGAATTCCACTTCAACCACGCACCCAGGACAGTGAATGACCGTTCGGTTCAGCCCCCTCACTCTGATATACCTATACGACCACCCTTCGGGTGAAAAGGAGGTTGTGTGGGAGGGGGAAAGGGGGGAGCCAACATCTGACTCAATCGATCTCACTATCGATCGCACTCAACGGGACACCACGGGACACCACGGGACACTTGTCGATCTCACTATAGATCACTATCGATCTCACTCAACGGGACACCGCGGGACACCACGGGTCACCACGGGACAACTCGGGGCACCACATCGATCTCAATATCGATCTCACTCAACGGAACACCACGGGACACAACGGGACACCTGTCGATCTCACTATCGATCTTACTATCCATCTCACTTTTTGGGACACCACGGGACACCTCGGGGTACCACATCGATCTCAATATCGATCTCACTATCGATCTCACTCAACTGGACACCACGGGACACCACGGGAAACCACAGAACACCTGTCGATCTCACTATCGATCTCACTATCGATCTCACCTTTTGGGACACAACGGCACACCACGGGACACCTCGGGGCACCACATCGATCTCAATATCGATCTCACTATAGATCTCACTCAACGGGACACCACGGGACACCACGAGACACCGCGGGACACCGCGAGCCACCGCCGGACGGAAGGACGGACGGGCGGTCGGGGGAGAATCATTTGTCTTGACTTCGCCCTAGCAACAACAACGGCGGGCACCACGGGACACCACGGGACACCGCGGGACACCGCGAGCCACCGCCGGACGGGCGGGAGGGGGAGAATCATTTGTCTTGACTTCGCCCTAGCAACGGCGGGCACCAGGGGACACCACGGGACACCACAGGACACCGCGGGACACCGCGAGCCACCGCCGGACGGGCGGGAGGGGGAGAATCATTTGTCTTGACTTCGCCCTAGCAGCGGCGGGTTATTCCTCTCGCGCGCCCACGCAGCTTCGCCTCGCCCGCACACACGACACGAACGAAAGGAAACGATTTCCCGGCTGGGGGTCTCCGTTCCACTGCGATCTCACCCCCCAACCTCCGATATGTGTATATATAGTATATATATAATAGTGTATATATATAGCGAGAGAGAGAAAGAGAGAAAGAGAGAGAGAAAGAGAGAAAAGGAACGAGAGAGAGAGAGAGATAGAACGAGAGAAAGGGAAACGGAGAGAGGCCTCCCGATTAGTACGCATCCGCTGTCTCCACTTATGGGCAAGACAGCACATTCTGATGCATGGGGGAAGGGGGGAGAGAGGGTGAGACATGCAAGGACGTAGAAAGAGAACCCGAGAGATCTGGACAGACAGTGTGATTGCACTTGTTTTCGAATGGTGTGCCGCCGAAAAAGGAAAGGGGCGAGACACGGGGGGGGTGCGGGTCGAGGGATACCTCATTCTCATCTGCATGCGCGTGGCAGACAGGGGAATACTGTGTTCAGCATGTGGAGGAAGTGAAAGAGAGAGAGAGAGAGAGAGAGAGAAAGAGGAACAACCTAAAACGATGCATCACAAAAGATGCAGAGAGCGATGGGGGAGAGGGACAGAACGAGAGAGAGAGAGAGAGAGAGAAAGATCGTGTACATTCGTAAGGCTTCTTCGAGATGGGGAGGGACATCAGGTTTACATATTCAGCGAGAGAGGGAAGGTGTCTCTCTATCCCCATCATCCTTTACACCTGCGCGGGAGACAGAGGGAGAGAAGGGGAGAGTGCTCATGGCACGAGCCCCGAATGGTTCAGCGCCGATAAAGCCAGCAGCACGAGCCCCGAAGGGCTGTGCGCTCTAAGTTTCCCTGGCACGAGACCCAAAGGGTTCAACGCCGATAAAGCTAGGAACACGAACCCCGAAGGTCTCTGCGATCGAAAGTTCCTCGAGGAATCGCACCCTAACCGTCTATTCCTCCATTTCCTCCTCTTCCTCCGTCAACTGTAGTTTGGGGGTGATGTTGTGTGCAAACGCGTGTGTGTGTGTTTGTGTATGGGGGCAACTATATATATATATATATATACATGTTCACATAAATGTAGGTCTTTATATACGCATGAACACATTCGTATATTTCAGATGTAGTTCTGCCTATAAAAGTACGAAATCATTCTGATGTTGACTCGCAGAGCCAACATTCGCACTCCCCTACTTGGGTGGAGCAAGAAAGGTGGATGAGGCGCCAACTTCAAGAGCAAGGAGGATATTGCAACTCAGTAGGACATGAGCAACTACGGAATCCTAGTGCCTTCTGCTTGTCCACTGTGGCGATCAAGCTCTTGCCCGCCATGAAGCCGGATGCCGCCCCCTCCCCATCCTTAATTTCAGGCCTGCAGCAACTGCGACGTCTGCAACCCTTTCTGCTCGTGCATGCTCTCCCCGACTCCAGCGTGCCGTGGGTGTTTCCCTGTGCCAGTTGCGACTTCTCCAGCCCATCTCCCTCTTCGGCCGAAAGAACTCTTTGGGCGTTGTTGATCACACGGACCCTTGCAGGATGGGAACAATTCGGATTGCCTTGAGCTTGCAAAGCTTCAACCCATGGGCCTGGCGTCCAAATCAATATCTCTGGGCCTGACAGACGGACTGGGAGCCGAATCAACCGAAGGAGCCTCGAGGGGAGTACTGGTATGCCAGGACGCAGGTCACCCAAGCAAGTACCGATATTGTCGAGCCGCCTCTCCAGAGGTTCGCGTGCACCGACTCTTTCAAGCCGACGGCTCGAAAGCATCGTTGCGCGGGACCTCCTGGGAAGCAGCCTGGGAAAACGGCTGCAAGCGGATGTATAGGGATGCTCGGGCGATTTGGACGAGGATGTTTCTCAATCTCGGAGAACATCGGCCTTGCACGCACACGTCCCGGGTGGCACGGCTGGAATAACCTGCGGAATCTCTCCAGAACTGGACGTCCGACTTGCCGTCGCTCGGACGTCCATTTCCCGTGCATTTTTCGGTTTCGTGCGTGTTTTTTAGGCTCGATAGTCCAGGATGGTCCTCGATCGTTCTCGCCGAGAAAAAATGCACACGTCCGAGCGATGCCAAGTCCACTTCCTGCACCAGCCAAGCGCGCTCCACTACTCGCGGAGCAGCCATTCGCGAATGACCTGGGTCTGCCGCGGGGGATCTGCGATCCATGACACCGAGGTACACGTGTGCTTCTCGGCCGTTCGCGAGTACTGTGCCGGTGGTGGAGCGCGCTCGGTGACCTGCCCTCTCGGGCGCGGCGCGGCTTCGGGAGTCGACGGCCCCGACGGCCGCGGCTGCCACCCACCCTGGGTCGCGGGTCTGGATGTCCCCACTCCCCAGGCCGACCCCGCGAGCGGAAGTACGGCTCGTCATGTGCTGGCTGCTGCACGGGCCTGGGGCGCTCCGCATTCTGGGCTGTTGCCGTGGCCCAGGGAGGGCAGTCATTTTCCTGGCCGTCGGGATTCGAAGAGGCCGTGGATCAAGAACTGTTAGGCTGTCATAGGCTATGAGCCACGGCCAGAAAGCCATGTCGGCAGAACACACACACAGGGGGAAATCTCGACATCGCGCAGGGGCGTAGAGGGGTGCGCCTGACTCGCACACTTTGGATCCCAAGAGATCCCGAATAAAACTCCCAATCCTCGCAAGAAACAGTCCCACGATTGGACGCACGGCTACCCAGGCCACGAATTCCTCCCCTGAGATCTTCGTGCACTCCCGCACAGTCACTTTCTTTGCAAGGTGCATCGTTTGGTGCCGACTGGTTCGCCAGGTGGGCAGTCAGCTCCACCATTACAATTCAAGCCATGTTAGTCCAGTCAGGTGTATGTAGCCGCCTCGTTGAAGCATTGGTTGAAATAACGCTGCTGAGAAGGACCTCCCCCGCCCTCCCTGCCCACCGCATGTGACGAGATGGCCGAGGATCTTCAACCAACGCCAACGAAACATCAAACCCAGTACCCAGAGCCAACTATTCATGCTGATACTGATGCCGCACCCCCGCCCCGACCGCTGTGGACCCCACTGGCTTGGCGGGCCCCATGTCCATGCCGAACATCGCCATAGGGCAACTCCCGCCCTCCTGCGCCCACCGATGACGGCCGAGAAAAGATGGCGAGGTCCAGGAGGAGATATGCTATGAGGTACCGAAGTAAGACCGTTCATCGTAACTCAAACGTGTGCAAGGCGACAGAAGCTGTTCCTGCCACGCAAACGTTCCAAACAACCTTTCAGCAAACATATTTTGGTTCAAGCCTACCGAACAACACTTTGATGCTCTTGTCTGTCGCGCGGCGGTTTCGGGCTGGCTAATCCGCCATCGTCTCGTAAGTAATAGATGGAATGTCCTCAATCTTCTTTTGAGTTCTCCGTTTTGAATCTCTAGATCTCCACGGGGGCCGGGTTCTTGGGCAGTTCGCATGGCTTTCACCGAAACCACAAATGATTAAAAAACACGTCGTGTGCTCGCCCCCATATGGGGGAACCAGAGCTGGCCCCACGAACACTTTCGTTCCAAGATGGCACGTCGGATCTCCAATAACCCCCCGAGAGATCTACAAGAGACCCCCAAAGAGGCCCCCAAGAGGTCCCCGATACACCCCAAGAGGCTTCCAACAAACAGGGGAAGGTCTCTGCTTTCGATTTTCGCCTGGCCCTCAACCACAAGTGAACGCATGGAGAATGTGGGCGGCTTTTCTTCTTCTGGCCCGAGCATGTAATGTTCTGGCCCGAACGTGCTCGACGACGACGGACACCGTGGCGATAATGACCACTCGGCGAAGAAATGGAAGGCGAGGGTGACGGCGGCGACAGGAACTGGGGAGGTGCTGGCGATCCTGGCGGTGGTGAGTGACGAGGTTGCTGGTGGCGATGGCGATGGCGGCGGAACATGCGGCGCTGACGATGCTGGCGGTGGTGAGTGGCGGGTCCGCTGGCGGCGATAGCGATGGCGGCGGACAGTGACGATGCTGACGGTGATGACGACGACGATGCTGACAATAGCGAGGGCGGCGCTGACGATGCCGACGATGATGAAGGACGAAGTTGCTGGCGGCAACGACAGTGGCGGCAGCGATGCCGCAGTAAGCGGAGGTCGGCGGGGCGACGGCGGGGCGACGCGGCCCCCCTTTAGACATTCTGAGGCTCCGCTCGGACCTGGCGGGGAGCCGCGGGCTCCCTTGGCGGGGCGGTGGGCTCCCTACCTTTGACTCAGCAGTGCAAATTGGCCCTGGGCCAGGGCGAACCAATGCAGCTTTCGCTCAGGACTTTCTCAGCAACCCACGGTTGCTGGCGATTTCCGATGCACTGGAGGCCAGTCCACAAGAAACCTTCCACAAACAACCCGGCCCTGAGACCCCAGGACGTCCATTGATTTTTGGTGGGAACGTCACGCTTTCCATAGCAAAACCATCGAAACCCAAGAAACCCAGGGCACCCTGGAGGCAAGCAGGGTGTTTCTTGGCATGGTCTCCACTGTAGGTTTGTGCGGAATCCGTTCAATTTCCGCGCGTCTCTGCATGCAACGGACGCAAACATAATGGCTTCGCCTGAGACATTGTCACGCGCGCGCTAAGATCAGCTCAACTTTCTGCTGTTTTCTTCTATCATATTCCCGGCAGTCCCCGCACTTCCACTCGGTTTCGGCTTCGCTTCTTCGCGGACCTTGCGTCAGCTAATCTTCATTGCTGCGTCTGGCGTCCTCGCAGAGATCAGAGTCCGTGACTTTTGCACTGCGTTCCTGAAGGGACTCATCGCCGCGCGGCTGAAACACGGCAAATTTCATAACACAACTCACAGAAACATCAAACGACGAACTCTCCCCTGTGTGAAGAGACATCCCAAGGGACCCCCTGATGCATCTAAGAGGACTTTGGCCCAACCAAAGCACGGTGGCGGGATGGGCCGGACGTCATTCGATCTGCTGCCCCCTGTGGTCTTGCCACAGGGGTGCACGGCTCGCCGAACGCGTGGCATATGTTTGGTTCTTTTCTAAAGAACTCCCCGTAGCGTCTCGGCCCAGCCCGCTGGCCGCCCGAAGGGCCTCTTATAACCCCAACGAATTTCTTCAAGACGGCCTTAATGGTCTCCAAGACGGCCAATATGGACTCCAAGATGCCTCCCAGGCGGCCAAGATGGCCCCAGGAGAGCCCAAGATAGCTCCAAGATGGCCTCAAAACGGTCCCACGATGTCTCAAATATTGCCAAGATGGTCCAAGAGTCCCCAAGACGGCCCAAGAAGCGCAAAAGAGGCCCCTAAGATAGCGCAAGAGGCCTCCAATAAGCCCCCCAGGAAGGCCCGACGAGGCCAACATCACTGAGTTCCTAAGGTTTTCGATGGATTTTCGCATGTGCTTCTTTTTGGCCCTCGGATGGCCCACAACGGCCTCAAAGGCCCCGAATATCTTCCAAGGAAGCCCCCCAAACGGCCCAAGAGGCCTCGAAGGCGCTCAAGATGGCATCCACGACGGATCTTAAGCGCCCCAGCCCGATGACAGCCCAAGAGGCCCCCAAGGCGGCCCCACGAGGGGCCCAAGACGCCTCCAAGACGCGCAAGATGGCCTCCAAGACGGGGCCCTTGAACGTCTCAAGAGAACCCCAGATGACCGCAATATGCCTCCAAGACGGCGCAAGATCCACCCAAAACGGCCCAAGATGGCATCACAATGGCCCAGGACGGCCCAAGAGGCCTTCAAGAGTGGACAAGAGGCCGCCAAGAGGTCCTCCAGGAATGCTCCAAGAGACCAGTACAATTCCCCATATCCCAAGGATGTGGTTCTTGCTATTCCCCATACCCTGAGATGGGGCTCCTGTCATCACTGTCAACGCGCCAGAGGAACACACACACACACCCACCCACCTCCCTCACACCCACTCATCACTCAGAGCCTCTCACGCTCAGACTTGCTCATACTCAGCCTCACTCAGACTCACTCATCGCTCAGACTCACTCATCGTCTAGACGCATCCATTACTCAAACCTGGGCTCGCTCATTGCTCAGGCACACTCACCACTCAGACTCACTCATGCTCTGACTCGCCCTTTCTCACCCAGGCTCGCTCATCGCCTAAATGCATTCACCACTCAGGCCTAGACTCGATCTTCGTGCATACCCACCCACCACTCAGGCTCACTCATGCTCTGACTCGCTCTTCCCCACCCAGATTTTGTCACACCATTATACGTAGACTTGCTCATTGCTCAGAGCAGTCCCTCACTCAGTCTCACTCGCGCTCCGATTCGTTCCTTCTCACCCAGATTGCACGCGCGCGTTGTGAGGATGTGCGCTCTATGGCTCACACTGAAGGGTACCCTGCCTCGCTCTGCCTCACCCAATCAGACTCAGGCGAGGCGCTGGTTTCAGCAGTCCCAAAGGGGGGCGCCAGGAGGTATTGCACGGGCCCGTTCGCGCCCAGATTGTGGGGACGTCTCATGCGGTTTGCATGTTTGCGTGCCCAGCATCTTTTGCTTTCGGAGCAGTCTCCGAGGATGTTTCAGGCGATGTGCTGGTTTCAGCACTTCCAAGGGAGGGCGCCAAGAACTATTGCACGGGCTCGTTCGCGCCCAACTTGTGGGGTTATCTTTAACGGGTTGCCTGTTTGCGGGCTCAACATTTTCATCATTCGAACCAGTCTGTGAGGATGTCTCAAGAGAGGCGCTGGTTTCAGCAACCCCAAGGGAGGCGCCAATGGGTATTGCATGGGCCCGTTCGCGCCTAGATTGTGGGAAGGTCTCAGGCGGTTTGCCTGTTTGCGTGCTCATCATCTTCTGCCTTCGGAACAGCTGCTGGGGATGTCTCAGGCGAGGCGCTGGTTTCAGCACTCCCAAGGGGGGCGCCAGGGTGTATTGCACTGGCCCGTTCGCGCCCAGATTGCGGAGGCGTCTCGTGCGGTTTGCCTGCTTGCGTGCTCAACATCGTCAGCTTTCGGAGCAGTTTCTGAGGATGTCTCAGGCGAGGCGCTGGTTTCAGCACTCCCAAAGGGGGGCGCCAAAGGGTATATCACGGGCCCGTTTGCGCCAAGATTGTGGGGGGATGTCTCAAGCGGTTTGCCTGTTTGCGTGCTCAGCACCTTCTGCTCTCGGAGCAGTTTCTGAAGGTGTATCAGGCGAGGCGCTGGTTTCAACACTCCCAGGAGGGGGGGGGGGGGGGCACGGAGTATTTCACGGACGCGTTCGCGCTCAGATTGTGGGGATGCATCAGGCGGTTTGTCTGTTTCGGCTTCCGCCATCTCTTGCTTTCGGCGCGTGTTGCGAGGATGTCCTTCTCCTCCTCCTCCTCGTCCTCCTCCTCCTCCTCCTCCTCCTTGTTGGGCCGAGGATGAGGGGGGGGGGGGGGGGCGACACGGAGGGGGAGGAGGATGAGAAGGAGTAGGGAGGCCACACGAGGCCCCAGGAGACCTCAGGAGGCCACAGGAAGCCCCAAGAGGCCACAGGAGGCCTCAAGAGGCTCCAGGAGGTCTCAGGAGGTTTCAGGAGGCCCCAGGAGCCCACAGGCCCATGCGCAAAGACGCACTAATACTACCGAGAGTTATTCACGCTCTAACTCGTTCGCAATTTGATTCGCTTCCAGACCGTCAATACCCAAGCCCGTGCATATTCGAAAACTCTTGCGCCTAGACACTCACGACGGACAGGTCCATGCGAATAGATGCACATATGGGGAGCTCCACGTGGTGAATACTTGCTATCATATTTTTGGTGTAAGATTATGGCAGCTGCTTTTCGGCCGTCCGACGGCCCCAGACGGCCCACGAGCCCCCCAAGATCGCCTAGGAGGCCTCCAGCATGGCCCGATGACGGCCCGAGCGGTCCCGAAGACGGCTCCAAGAAGGCCCCAATGCGACCCAAGGGCCCCCTAAGACGCCCAGGATGACCTCCAAGTCGGCCCTGAAGCGCCCCAAGATGGCCCCACGACGGCCCAGAGAGGCTCCCAAGACGGCTTCCGTTGGCTCCCGACGGACCAGGAATGCAGTAAGGCAGCCGAGCCCCCACAGGCCCCACGAGGCCCAAGGAGGCCCCCACGAGGCCTCCAAGAGATCCCCAGGAAACTCCCAGGAGGCCCCGAGAATGACCACAGAAACTCCCAAGAGAAGCGGTCTTCCCATCCTTCTCCCAATCCTTCTCCTTTCCTTTCCTTTCCGCTCGGCTTGACGCGGCCCGCAGCGTCGGGACCGCGCGGCCGGCCAGGCCGCCCGGCTCGGCCTGTTCCTTCCGCGGGCGGCCTCCGAGTGCCTGCCACGCGGCGACCCTCCCCGCGGCCGAGGGCGTGGGGGGTGACGCCCGACGCTGCTGTGCGGGGGGCGCCCGCCCTCCGTTTCCTCGGGGATGGGGCCCCCCGGGCGGCCCCCCCCCAGCACGTAGCTGGCGGAGTGCCGCGCGAGGGCTGCCCCCGGCAGCCCCGTTGTGGTGAGCGGGTTGCTGCACGGCGGGCGCTCGGCCCGGAGCGGAGAGGCGCAGGGCGGCGCAGCGGGCCCGGGGCGAGGGGGCGGGGCCGGGCCGGGGCGCGCCGGGGGCCGGGCAAGGGAGGGCAGAGCGGGGCCATGCGGGCCAAGGGCGAGCCGAACCCAAAAGCGACCGCACCAGCGTGAGGTCGCTTGTGAAGTCGGCCCCGAAGGCGGGACGGGGCCCAGGGACGGGGGCCCAGGCCAAGGGCCGCAAGGCGGCCCAGTGGGGGGCCGCGGCCCGCCCGGGTCAGGCGTACCCTAAGCGGCGCTTGGGGTGCTCCTGCCAGGCGGCCCGCCAGCGGGGGCGATGCGGCCCCACGGAAGCCACAGCGAAGCCCCAAGAGACTCGGGCTCTCATGACGGCTCTGATGATGCTGGTGGGTGGAGGAGCTGGCGTCCCCGAGAGGTCTATCCCTCCAGCCTGGGACAGGCGCTGGGCGCTGCGGGCGCGGCGGCGCCGAGCCACCGCAGGAGGCGCAGGAGGAGGAGGAGGAGGAGGAGGAGGCGGAGGAGGAAACTCCAACGGCAACTGATCAGGAGCCAAGGCGGCTTCTGTCTGCTGCACGCCGAAGGAGGCCCGAGGCAGGGAGTGTGATACCTGGCCCGCGCCTTGCCGGTCGTTGCGTGGGACCAGCATGCGTGGGCTTGCCCCCCCCCCCCCCCCCACACACCCCTCCGCTTGCGGCCCCCGAGAGCTGCGCACCGGAGGTCACTGCGGCGAAGGGTCACTACAGCAGGAGCTCGACCACGAGAAACCTTCCACAAGAAACCCGACACTGAGACCCCCGGACGTCCACTGGTTCTTGGTGTGGGAGCGTCACGCCTCCCAGAATCAGCAAGACCCTCGAAACCCAAGAAACGCAGGGGACCCTGGAGGCAAGCGGGGTGTTTCTTGGCATGGGTTTCTTCTGTAAATTTTCGGGTCATATAACTTGGGTCTCTGGCGGCCATTCGGGACGAGTCGGGCGCCCCCGGAACGCTCTCGGCGAGGCGCATCCACAGGCAGGAAAACCTCGAGGAACCGACGAGCACGCCAGGGCACGCTCTGGAACCGGCTCCTCCTCGCCCGAGCTCCGTCCGAGAAAGCCTCCGGGCACCGACCAGCACGTCCGCAAGGGCCCTGGCCGCGGCCGATCCTCTGCCCGCGGTTTGGGCCCGCCGCCGCCCGCCCCGCGCGGGCGCGGTCCTTGCCGGAGATGGGGCACGCGCCCGTGGCGGCTCCCGGGGCAGGCGCCGTGACCTCTGCAGCCGCGCGGCGTGGCCCGGCTTGGGTCGGCGGCGAGCGGAGAAGGGGAAGGTGAGAGGGAGAGGGTCCTCTGAGAAGGCGAAGGCCCTCTCAGAGGCGGCGGGGCTTCTCAGAAGCCCTCCAGCCTTCTGAGAGGTTTTCTGTGGGCTTTGGGGGGGAGGCTCAGAAAACTTCTCAGCAAGCCAGAGGTCTTCCGAGTCCCTGAGAACCCAGATATCCGCGCGCTGCAATTTTTTCGATGCGTGGTCCCAGGGGATCCCCGGATGTCTGGACCACTTCTCTCTCTCTCTCTCTCTCTCTCTCTATATATATATATATAGAGGGCCGGTTTTTCGTCCTGCATCGTTTTCTGACGTTTCCGAGGCCCGGTGAGGGCACCCGGAGGCCGAACACGGCCCAAAACCGGCCGCTCCGACTTTGGTCGGCGCGTCGAGTTCTCGGGGAAGGCCCGCCGCTGCTCACTTCCCCCCCCAGGCTCGCCGCCGATCGGCAGGGAGGGGGGGGCACGGCCACGCGGGTCGGGGCGAGGGGGCGACCTGCGAAGCATGCCCCCCACCAGCCATCGGTTCTCTCCTGAGAGCCGATGGCGGGGGGGGGGCAGGGTTCGGACTTCACCGCGTGGGAGGAGGAGGAGGAGGAGGAGGAGGAGGAGGAGGAGGAGGAGGAGGAGGAGGAGGAGGAGGAGGAGGCGACGATCAAAAACGGGTCTGACGCACGGTTACGTAGTGACCTTTGCGGCGGCTTGCGCGTGCCGCCAGCGCGGCACGCTACATTAGAGACGACGGCGCTCACGCGCGACCTTGCGCGGGCAACTTACGCGCCAACGTCGGCGGGGGTAGGATCCGGACCCGGGCTGCCCCGATACGCAACACGCAACACGTAGCGTATTGATACCGAACTCAACACGTAGACTGAAAATCTGGGTAGGACGCGATACGTTCTCCAACGCGTGGGCCAACACTCTGAGCCAACACGCCACGCACTGGCACGGACGTTAAAGGCACGTTATGAGTTGCGCTTCCCACGGGGCGTGTCGATGTAGCTGAGGTTCGGATCTCACCACGTGTTCGACGAATTCCGAACGCTGCCCCCGCCGCCCATCGAGCTGCCTGAATCATTGATCGGCGAGGGTATAAGGCTCGGATCTCATCGCCGAGCAGGGCGAGGTGGGCGAGGTGGCGAGCCAGTGGCGGGGCGAGGGGGCGGGGTGCGCCCAAGATGGGGGCGCCAGGCGGATCAGCGAGTGATGGTCCGAGGCACGTGCGCGGACGCGGGGGGGGGGGGGGTCAGGGAACCCTTCAGATCCTGGCGACTCACTTTTTTCGAGAGGGGCGTTTTCGCTCAATCTCGGGGCCCAGGACCCTCACATGTCGATCCGGCTCGAAAAAAGCATCGGGGTCTGGGGGTCCAGTCGTGATGTTCTGCCATGTTGCGATTTTTCCCAACGTCCGATCTCAGGGACGTGCTGAATGACGAAGGGGGCCAACGAAATTTGGGAGGTTTCACTGCCCCGGCCATGATGCCCGCACCGCCCTGGCCCTAACCGCCCTCTCTCGGGCGACCGAGCGGATGGGATACAGCCACCGTGCGGCCATCAGGAACGGAACATGCGGAATGCATGGGGCTTTTCTGGCCACGGCGAGCCTGGGCCACGAATGGGTGCCCCGACCCAGGTCTCAGGAGCGACCCGAAAGACCAGGGCTCTGCCTGAACCCAGAGTGGTCCTCACTTCAGCGCCTGGAGAGTGCGGATATGGACTCAGTCCGTCCGCGGCGACGGTGTCGCCAGAGGCGCCGCCAGGGCGCTCCAGCGCAGATCCAAGACATCCGCACGGACCGCCAGCAAATCATGCTCATGGATGGCGCTCTTTGCTCTTCGCGGACGGGGCCCGACGGGAGGGGGTGGCCGATGTTGGGCGCCCGAGTTATCCGGGGTAACTCGGGTCCGGGGTAACTCGGGTTTGGATTCCCGAAAAAGGAACCCGAGTTATCCCTGACCCGAGTTACCCCTGATGATTCTGGGGCTCTGGACGCCCGAGTTATCCGGGGTAACTCGGGTCCGGGATAACTCGGGTTCGGATTCCCGAAAAACGAACCCGAGATAGCCCTGACCCGAGTTACCCCTGATGATTCGGGGGCTCTGACGATGGGCGCCGAGCTTCCCGCAGGAGCGCCACGGGCCATGCCGCCCACCCCCCGCCCGCACGGCTCCCTCTCGGCAGGCCGGCCCCGCCTCGGCTGCCGGGCCTCGCCCCTGCCCCCCCCGCGGCTCGCCCAGCGCTGGCCTCGACCCCTTCCCATGCAGGGGGCGTCCAAGAGAGGGGGGGGTCGCGGGAGCCGGCGCCCGCTGAGATGTCGTTGCCCTGGCCACGGCCATGATGCCCGACCCCTCTGCAGAAAGACAGGGATCGGGTTGGGGGGGATGGGTTTGGGAGAACTGATCAGATCATTCGTAGTATCTCGTCTGACGAGTGGGCTTATGACACAGTCGTGCCCTGTATCTTCCCAACACCCTCCCCCCGACATGATCATTCCAGATATCCGACCGCTCCATTTTTTGGATGCGTAGTTAGGCCCTGGAAGTCTGGACCATTTCCCTAGAGCAGGTTTTTCGGCCTGAGTCGTTTTCTAGCCCGAGGCCCGGCGAAGGCTCCCGGAGGCCGAAAACGGCTAAAACCCGGCCGCTCCAATTTTTCGGAGCGTCGGATCTCTGGGTCTTTCTCACCTTCAGTCGTCACCTCCCTCTTGGCCGCTCCCGACCTTTCCAGGGCCCTCCTCTCCCCCGGGCCTTCGCCATGGCCGCGCCGCCCACGGCGGCCGCGGCTCGCTGGCGCAAGCCCTCCGCGGAGTCGTCGGCCGGCGCTTGCGTCGGCGGCTGCGGCCTCGCGCGCGCCCCCGCGCAGTCGCTGGGCCGCCCTGGCTCCTGCCCGACGCAAGGCCTTCTGAGATCCGACGCCGTGACAAAAGTGCAGCACCGTGACAGCATCGCAGCCGGAGGAACCCCAAACCCAATCGGTCAGCGGCAGTCCTCGAGCCACATCGATCCCCGAACGTCTCTATACTCGATTGTCGACGACGTCGACGTCGACGACGATGTCGACGACGACGACGACGCCGACGCCGACGCCACCGACGCCACCGAGGCCGAGGCCGCCGACGCCGACGCCGACGCCGACGCCGACGACGACGTCGACGCCGACGCCGACGACGACGACGACGGCGACGACGCCGACGACGACGACGACGACGACGACGACGACGAGGGCGACGACGACGACGACCACGACGACCACGACGGTTGCACCACCTTTGCGGCCCGTTGCAGGCGACGTGGCCGACCCCAGAGACCCAGCACCCACAAAGACGTGTAGGCGGCGCGCACAGGTGCCGCACAGGGAGGTAGGGGGGGGGGGAAGCGCTTTAGAAGGAGGCTGCTTCTACCTGGACCTTCCAGGAGGGCTCAAAAATGGCACCAGAACCTCGACATCGGACTTCCTGTCGAGGCTTTAGGCGATCCAAATCTTAGTGGGCCCCAGAAACGGCAAGGCCGTCTTTTCACCGTTTCCGAAAAACGTCTCTTGAGAAAGGAAACGGCATCAAAAACGGCTACCGGAAACGGCAACAAAAACGGCTCCAAGATTGGAGCCGGAGCCGGAACCGGTAAAACAACTGCGACGGACCCGGTAAAACGGCGTCGGAACCGGCAACAACAACGGCAAAACGGAAGCGGTAAAACAACGGCCCTGTCGTTTCCGGGGCCCTCTATGGTCCAGACCTGTCTGTAGGTCTGGAGGGCGCTCTGGAAAGCCTGCCCCCTCTGCGCGTGGCCGAACGTGGGCGCCTCGCCCTTTGCGCCCGCCGCCTTCCGGCAGGCCTCCGCTGGCGTAGGAGGAGGAGGAGGAGGAGGAGGAGGAGGAGGAGGAGGAGGAGGAGGAGGAGGAGGAGGAGGAGGAGGCGGAGGAGGAGGAGGTGGAGGTGGAGGAGGAGGAGGAGGAGGAGGGAGGAGGAGGGGGAGGGGGAGGAGGAGGAGGAGGAGGAGGAGGAGGAGGAGGAGGAGGATGAGGAGGAGGAGGAGAATGAGGATGAGGATGAGGAGGAGTGACCTTGGTAAGCGCGACCCTTGACAAGAGTGACCTCTGGTGCGCGGCGTTTTGGGGGCCGCGGGAGGAACAAACACAGAAGCGCAGGACGCTACGACCGCATCGCCCTCGGCGATCGGGGCACCTCGAGGCATGTGCGCGGACGAGGGGGGGACCAGGGGGCGCGCCTAAAGATGAACCCGGCGCGACCCCAATTAGGGGAAAACTTCCTGTTGCATGGGCGCAATGCTTGACATTGCTTGGCTTGCTTGGCATTTCCGAGGAACCCGAGGAACCCGGGAAACCTCCGAGGAACGGGTAAAGAAGCCCACCGAAACACTAAGCTTTACCCACGTAAGAACCCCTTACGCATGCAAGCCAAACTGGGGGAAAAAGATGGGGGCCATGAGATCTGGCGAGATTCCATGGCCTCGGCCATGCTACCCCCTCCCCGTGCTGGCCGCATCCGAACGTCGGAGGCGCCTCCAGGTGCCCCCGTCGTCTTCGATGCCCGGGGGGCTCTCGTCGGGACGGAGGCCGCTCTCTGGGAGGTCGGCAGGGGGCTCTCGTCGGGTCGGAAAGGCCGCCCCTTGGTGGCTCCTGGTCATCTCGGGCGGGTGGTAACGGGGCTTGGCCTAAATGGGGGGGGTGAAGGAAGGGCCCCAAAGGGCACTTTGGGGCACCTTTTGGGCCCCTGCTGGCTCCAAAAGGGGCCCTAAAGTGCCACTTTAGGGCCTTTTTCTTCACCCCCATTTGGGCCACCCCCCATTGCCACCCGCCCGACTCACGTGGCTGATCTTCTCGGCGCCTCCCAGCGATGCAGGCGCCGATGTGGCCCCCCCCCGGTGGCGTGGCCGAAACCAGCGGTGTGCGCAGCAGATTTCGCACCCCCCCTCCTCCTCCTCCTCCTCCTCCTCCTCCTCCTCCTCCTCCTCCTCCCCCTCCTCCTCCCCCTCCTCCCCCCCCCCGTCCTCCTCCTCTCCTCTTCCTCCTCCTCCTCTTCCTCCTCCATTCCTTCTCCTGATAAATAACTCCTCCCTGTCGCACCCCGAAGCCAGTTTGTAGGGCGGGCTGGGTGTTTCGCCTGAGACATCATCACCATTTATGACTCTGAAGCTTAAGAAGTGGCAGCAGTTTCACAGATGGAGGGCGGGTCGCTTTCAAAATGTGGCGCTCGCCTTAGCGCCGCGCATTCGTTATACACATTTGCAAGAGCTTCACGGATTGAGGGCGGGTGGTTTTCAACATGTGGCTCTCGCCTGAGAGCTGCGCACATTCGTTTAAACATTTTGCAAGAGTTTCACGGATTGAGGGCGGTTCCTTTTCAACATGCGGCTCTCGCCTTTAGCGCCGCGCACATTATTCTTCTTCTTCTTATTATTATTATTCGTCTTCTTCTTATGTGTGTCCTTCTTGCTTTAAATATTCTCATTTTTCATACTCTGTATTTCTGTTATACTCAAAAACTACAAGAGTTTTACATGTCCCCATGATCAACGCACCAGGACTGGTGCTTTGAAAGGATTCAGGATTATGCGGGCGCAGCAGTTATGTTGGTTCGCTGTGTTGAAATTTAGAAAAGGGCGTTCTGGCACGATTCCGAATCGTCAAGACGCAGCAGTCATGATGATACGTGGCGTTGAAACCCCGAGAACAATGTTTTGGTACGCATCTTCTAATCGTTGTCTTCAAACGAGGCAGTTCCCTCAATGGACATGAGCCGTTGTAGGGACCTCTGAAGAGGGAGCTTGGAGGGAGGGTTAATTCCAACATCGTTGATGACTCTTGGGTTTCCACTGGTCCTCCTCCTCCTCCTCCTCTCCCTCCTCCTTCTCCCGCCAGGGAGGGACTGGGAAGGGGGGGGTGCCTGTCAACCCCGCCATTGCCACCCGCCCGATCGTCCTCGGCGGCTCTTCGGCGGCGGCCCTTCCCGGTGGCGCCTCGGCCCGAGGCTCGCCCCCTCTGTCGGTGACCGCCTGCGGCCGTCCTATCGAAGGGGGGGTCTCGGCTGCGGTCGGGGCCTGGCCGCACCGGCGTGGGTCAGGAGCGTGGGCCTCTCTGGAGCGGAGGCCCAGGGCCCAGTGGAGATCCCCAGAGCGGAGAGCGCTCCAGGGAATAGAGCCCGAGAGCGGAGAACACGAGGGTGCCCTTTCCAAGCTGGGGCTGTCCTCAACCCTCGTGCCAAGTGTGGTTGCTGTTTCTTCACCCTGTGATTGCTGTTTCTCCACCCGCGAAACACGACCGCTTCGATCCCCCCTCCTGCCTCGCACTTCGCCGCTTGATGCAGCTCCGTCAGTGTCGATCCCATGGTGCGTCTCAGTATGCCTAACTAAAATGGATGTGCGCGCAAGTGGCCAGGTCACCTGGTGAGGTTCAGACGATATCCCTCCACATGCATGCAGCCCGTGCTGATGAAACCTGAGACAGCTGTTAAGCCCAATTTGATCAGAGGCTTCCTACTACTAGGCTGCGTGAATGCTGCTCTGCAGTTGCGAACCACCAGTCGTGAGCTACGACATCCAACACCAATGCCATTTATCTGGCAACGCTTCCTTCATATGCCCTGTCCGGAGAAACATTTCTCTCCTCCTTCACCTCTTTCCACCTCCTGAACAGCCGATCCGGTAAGCCTCGGGACAGTCAGCACCTTGGTCTTGCGGAGGCGGCCCGCTATGGGGTACCTTCGCGTCGCGGTGTCTGGCGGATCCCATCGCAGCTCTTCATATCCACCTTTCCTCGTGGCAGTGCCCCTGTCTTGCTCATGTCGGATATTACTGCGAACATTCTCTTACTCGGCATTTCGACATTGGGCGGAAGGAGCGGGGGAGGGGGGGGGTTCTGGCTCCGGACCTCTGTTTAATGCGACTTTTTGCAACAGTGCGTCCTGCGAGGGGAACTCCACCTGCTCGAAACAGGCGCCCAAACTGCCAGGATCTGCTCCATGGGGGGGAGGAGGGGGTGCGAGGGCCCGCGCCGATCGGCAGAACAATGAATAAGAAAACGATCACATTCGTCTCCATCCAGCTATGCCTGCCTCTGCCTGCCTCGTCTGTTCCCTTTCCTCGACATCCTTTGCCTTCGCATCGAGCGGGGCCTGCCCCGCATGATCTCGGTGCCCTCGCTGCCCTGCATCAAAGACTGGCCCACGCAAGCGCCCGACGGTTCTGACCAAGCCCGGCAATGGCACGACAGCAGAAGGGGAGGAGGGCAAGCAGAGCGGAATATAACCTCTTGGACTGACGAACCGACTACCAGAGGCGGCTGCGCTGTGCTCTGGGAAGGTTCCTTCGCAACCCAACCACTTGCTCTGCACGCCCCCCCCAGAAGCTCACAACTCAGTCTGCGCTGGCCGACTGGCGCCACGTCACGTGGCGGGCTCGGGAAACCCTGAGCCCAAAAATATGGTCTTCTCCACCTTTACTTCCGCCGGCTGCCGCCAGCGGAGCCGCCCTCATATCCTACCTCCGCCAGCTTCCGCCGACCCTCCGCCGCGGAAGAGATGGCAACTCCTTCGGTCCTCGGAGGCGAGGCCCCGTCTGGAACGGCTTACGTGGGCGCGCAACCCGCACACGGGGGCCGATACCTCAGGCACGACGCTCCCTTCCCGCCCCGCCCCCACCGGAGCTCCCCCCCCCCCGACTCCCCTTCCCCGACTGTCGGCCTCGGCCACGCCGCGGAGGCGGCAGCCCCACCCTGGTTTGCGCCCAACACGTCGTGTGCCTCTCTGCGGCAGCTTGCACCGTCGCACCGTGCTGCCCTTGAGCACCAGGCTCAGGACCACAACCGCGGCCACAAGGCCGTGGCCAGAAGCCCCAGCCTGTGGCCCAGGCTGGAGCAGAGGACGAGCGCAGGGGCACAGCCGCGGAGCCGGGGCAAAGCCCGGGGCGGAAGCCGACGCCGATCGGAGCCGAGACGAGGGCCGGAGCTGGGGCTCGGACAGCGTGACGGCAGACTTTGGTGGTCAGCGGGGAAGGCAGGCGCCAACGCGGTCGAAAGCCAGGTGGCCGCGCGCGGCTAGGATGCCACCAGACAAGAGGAGAACACGAGGGCGGCGAGTGCGCGGGCGGCCTCAAGCGCCGAAGCCCAGCGTACTGAAATGTGTGCGGTCAGTACCAGCCGCCGGCCGAAGGCGAGGGCAACGCGATCCCAATGGAGGCATGCCGTCATCGAAGTAAACAGCAACGACAAGACTTGCCAACAGATCGTGTTCTGGACCCTGTCGGGGCAGGCTGCCCCTTGGAGGCGGCCAAGGGGTCTGAAACCCCAGAAAATCGTCCAGGAGGGGAGGACGAGGCCAAATCCGTTCAAACTCGTCCCCTGGACCCCTCCCATCTGGTGCAATTTTTCACACTGGACTCGTTTTTCACGGCCCCCGGGGCTCGAGAACGGACCCCCCGGAGGCCGAAAGAGGCCACAGAACCTCCTCGAGCCCATGACCCCGAGCCTCGCCCCTCCCCTCCTGCTGGCCAGAACCGGTGCTGGGCCACCTCGGGCCCCCAGCTGGCTCCACGGCGCGCGGGCGCACAAGCCTGGCCGTCGGCCTCGGCTGGCGGTGCGGCCCGGCCCTCCGCCCCGCGGCGGCGGAGGGCGCACCTCGCCCGCAGGAGCCGCTTCCACTCGCCCTTCTGCTTCTCCTCCTCGCTGTTGTCGGGCTCCCACCTCCGCGGTGGCGCGGGGCAGCGCAGAGCACGGAGCAGGCCCTCGGCCACAGGAGGCCCTCGCGGGCCAGCGGCGCAGCTCGGCCAAGAAACTCTCGGTCAGGCTGAACTCGGCCGGAGGGGGGCGTTGGCCGTTTCTGGGCGAGAAATCGTGGGGTGGGGGGCCCCAAGAACAGAGGTTCCGTGGGTGGGAGCGTCGGGCCGAGGAGGGGGGCGAGGAGGGGGGCGTTGGGCCGAGGAGGGGGGCGAGGAGGGGGGCGTTGACCGTTTCTGGGCGAGAAATCGTGGGGTTGGGGGCCCCAAGAACAGAGGTTCCGTGGGTGGGTTGGCGCGGCCGGCTGATCTCGGCTAGACTGACCTCGGCCAAACGACCAGGGCCGAATTTAGCCTGGCCGAGTGCAGCCTGGCCGGGCTTCGCCTGGCCGAATCTTTCCCTTGTCCACGGGATGCCCAGCCTCAGGGTTTCGAGGGACTCGGAGTCCGGTGGACCCCGTGGTTCTCGCTGCAGGCCCCTCCAGCCCCACGAAAAGGGCGCCCAAGGCAGATGCAGATACCTGCGTGGCGTTGGTGCCCGATGTAGGTGGCTGAGGAGAGAGCTTTGGCGCAGCTGATTTCTTCCAGAGGAAGGGAACGCCTGCTATGCGGCGGAAGGCTTGGCACATATCCGCAATCGAAGCACGGATGCTTGGAGGACGCCGTGGACACCAACAACAGGAGAGCGGAAGGGCAGCACAGGCCTGCTGGACACTCGCTCGAAAACCAGGTGAATGGTGCATCCAGGCGAAACATCTCGACTGAAAACCGCAATGGCCCTCACCTTCTTGGCAAGTTGGGTCGCGTAGTCAGGCGACCTCGTCTGGCTGGGCTCTGTTACGCACGTCTTCTGCCCACGCGCGACGGACGCGAGGGGTCCGAGACAGGTTCTTGCTTTTCTGCCGAGGCAGCCTTCCAGGGTCCCCATTGTGGCCCCAAGCTCATCCGAACGAGCTGTGGTGCTGCTGGCCCATCAGACGCCGACCGACGACTTACCGTGCCGCACCCATTTTCTTCCGATGCGTCTCAAATTCTGGCGAGTTTCGCCACCGACAGCGCCCTCCTTTCGCCAGATCTGGCTGCAGACGCCGACCACGACAATGATAACATCACCGACCCCGCCGACCGCAGACCGCCCGCACGATCGAGCCGGGCCAACCACATGCTCGAACACGGCCAGCCGCGTGGCCAGAACGGTTCCACGGCCATCGACTGCCGCGGCTGTGGTCGGCAACCACCGAGCCACCCCTCCTGTTGTTCAGCTTCTCAGCCGTGCATGGTTTCGAAGTCTGGCCAGCCCAGCGGAGACTAGCAAAACGCGACACCATGCAACGATACGCCCCTTGACGGCTGCCCAGGCGAGGCGCGACTGAGAGCGGCACAAGGGCTGACTCCGCGCATCGTGCAGGGAAACGGGCTGACTGGGGCACTCAGCCCTCCGCTCTCGCCCAGGCCCCGCGCGAAGCGCCGCAGGACATCTTCCTCCTTCACCCCTTTGAGCCCTCAGCGGTAAAATGAAGCAGGTGGGGTGAACGAAATGCATATGGACAGTGATGAACAGCATGGAAGGAAGGATGGAAGCAGTGAGGTAGGGACTCAAGGACGAGATGGCTCGGACGGATGGCCGACTGCGATGGTGACCGTGACCACCGCGATGGCCCCGGGACGGAAATCTGCGGGCCCCGATCTGGCCCACCCGCTTTCCCAACGGCGGGAGGCTCCAATGCCACGGACGGCCCGTTTCCTGGGATGTGCCGCGCGCTTGTTGCTCCCAGCCCTCCCGCGGACTCTGGGTCCAACTCTTCTCCATGCTGCGCCGCGCGACCCCCGCGCCCGCCTCCGCCCTCCTCCCCTGCTCTTGCCGCTGCTGCTGCTGCTGCTGCTGCTGCTGCCAGCTGCATGCTGCTGCTGCTGCCGCCCATCTCCCCTCCCTCCCCCCCCCATCTGCTACTCCTTCCCTCGATCTCGTGCCCCAAAGTGGGCCCCAGCTACTCCTGCATCCGAAGGCGCGACCGCATCCGCCACCCTCGCCCGCTTCGGCGCATCCCTCACACGCGTTGTGCCACACCAGGAGCTTCGCCTACCGCATCCGTGGGCGCGACCGCATGCGGCCCCCTCGGCCACTTCGGCACACCCCTTACACGCTATGTGCCCCACAAGGAGCTCCATAAGGAGCTTTGACTGCGGTCCTAGTGGGTACGACCGAATGTCGCCTGGTCGCCCACATCGGCACACCACATGTTTCGCACACCATTTAGACCCCTCCCCACTTTTGTTTGTTGCGTGTGTGTGTGTGTGTGTGTTTGTGTTTGTTTATGCTAGCTGTTATTTTGTTACCCCCTCTCTCTCTCTCTTTCGCATGTGCACTACATGCAGCCGCCAAGGGTTGGATGTCTCGCTAGGCTGGTATTCGCGACCGTTGTATGTACGCAACATGGAGCCACCACGGGTTGGATGTCTTGCTAGGCTGGTATTCGCGAGCGTGATGACTCCTGGCCAGAGCGACAATCTAACCGCAGCTGGTGTCGCTGAGCAGAATGGTGTACACTTCCTCTCGTAAATCTGCCGCTGTAGAAATTGTATGCTTAAAACACCGACGAGAGGTGCTGCGACTGGATAGGGAACCCAGGATTGAACGACCGACCGAAATTTGCTTGCGGGGCGATCGCGAGTCACAACCCGTCTGCATGAGAGAAGGAACGTGGCAGTGGCTGACTCATCTCAAGCGAGTTCCTCAGCCAGAGCCCTGCTAAGGGGGCAGCAGAGAAGCACAACGAACGAGCACAGCAGCCCTTCGTGCATTGTGAGGCGGCACCACGGCCTCGTTCTCTCCTCGTCCCCCTCCTCCTCTCTCCCGCCTCCGTGTAGGAACTGGCGCGCGCGAGTTCCGCCGAAGGACTAAATCCCGCAGCTGCGACGCTCCCGATGAGCTCTGGCTCGTGCCGAATCTCTTTTTGCGAGGGCGCCCCCCCCCCCCCAGCGAGTCAGGCCACTCCCTCGAAGCACCGCCCCGCCGCCGGACCACAGCTTTGAGAGCGGGAGGCTGACAACTAGGGCTCCCAACTTCGCGCTTCGCGCTGCGCGAAGCGCGAAGCGCGAATAACTTCGCGCTCTCGCGCCGCCCTCCCAAAGGGAGAATAGGAGGACGAGGAGGAGGGGGAGAAGGAACGAGGACCGCGAAGCGCGAAGCGCGAATAACTTCGTGCCCTCGAGGGAGCCCTTGGTGACAAGGATCCGACGTCTGAGCTCTCGCCGAGTTCCGGTGGCACGGGCGGAGCTCCAGCCCTCTCGGCGTCCCCCCCGGGTGGCCCTCGAGACTGGCGAGGCGGCCGAGGGCTCTGCCTCGCGCCCTGCCCCCTGCTCTGAGGCCCGACGTCACGACAGCAAGCGTGCAGCATCGCAGAGCATCACAGCCGAACCCCCCCCCCCAGACCCCGTCTTGCTGCGGCTCTTCTCGACGCTGGTCGATCCGTGATGGGCCCTGGGGCCCGAGGCAGGAGGCGGAAACGCCTGGCGAGAGCACGGCGCGACGCCCAGACCTCAGGGCCTCTCCGGAAGAAGAACTGGCATAAGCAGATGAACGATCCGCGCGGATTTCTTGGATCGGTGCTGGAGCCCCCATCCCTGGCGCGAGAGCGCGCCAGGGGCGGCGTCGGAGGCGCCGCCGGGGGGAGGCGGTGCCGATCTGAGAAGTCCGCGCGGAGTTCCTAAAGTCGATGATCGGGCCGACTTTTTCTCTCCTCCCGGGCCTGGGTCGGATGAGAAGCAGGGGCTACCGCCACTGAGAATCCACCCGGGGGGGACCGACCCCTGGGCGGTGTTACGCCCAAGCGTCACCCAGTGCCAGGCGGGCCCTCCTGACGCCATCTTGGGCCGTCTTGGGCCACCTTCTGCCGCGTGAGGGTCGCCCGGGACAACTTTGGATCGCGCGGGGCCCGCCCGAGGTCGTCCAGGTTGCGCGCGCGGAGCTCCGAACGTTTCTGCTCAGGCCGACTTTTTCTCTTCCAGGTTCCTGGGCCTCAGTCTGGGGAGAAGCAGAGGGCACCGCCACCGAGGATCCACCAGGGGGGGGGGGGGAGGGGGCGACCCATGGGCGGTGGCACGTCCAAACATCACCCAGTACCGCAGATGCGGTGCCGATCCGAGAAGTCAGCGCGGACCTCCCAGAATTTATGCTTGCGCTTGCGCTGACTTTTTCCCTTCTGGGATCCTGGACGTTCAGCCGGGGGACGGGCGGGCCCTCTTGAAGCCATCTTGGACCGACTCAAGGCCATCTTGTAGATACACGTACGCATGTTTGTGTGTGCATCTATATCTATATATATATGTATATATATATATATATATATATATAGATATGTACACATACACCTTTCCCGCTATTTTGTTGGGGGGCACCTCGGGCCATCTTGAAGCCCTCTTCGACCGTCTGAGGGCCACCTGTGACAACTTTGGCGCGCGCGCGCGGGGCTCGTCTGAGGTCGGCTTAGGTCGCCCAGGTCGCGAGTCCCCAAATCGGTCGCGACCGATTTGCTTCAAGCTCGGTCGCGACCGATGATGGGAACGGTCGCGATCGGTCACGACCGATTTGGAGTGCCGATCGGTCGCTACCGAACGCGACCGAACAAACATCCAGTACATGTACAATGTTGCTGGCGCGCGCAAGGGTGTAGGGGGAGGAGGGAAGGCTTCCTAAAAGGAGACCGCTTCTCAGAAGGCGCGCCGCCCTCACATCTACAGACAAGGCCCGCGCCTTCTAAGAAGCAGGGGTGCTTCTGAGGAGCCGTCCCCCATCCCCTTACCCCTCTCTGCGCGTGGCCGACAATGATCTTGGCAGGGGTGCGTCCCCTCCGATGTGTTCTCGTTGGCGGTGGCCTCTGTTGACGGGCTGGCCGCCGCCTGAGGTCGCCCATTTTGGCGGGGCTCAGGGACACCTCTCCCAGGCAGCGGGTGCTGACGGCGAGCCCG